ATTAGTTGGGTGTGGTGGTGCAACCCCCTAATCCCAGCTACTCGGGAGGCTAAGGCAGGAGAATCACCTGCACCTGTGAGGTGGAGGTTGCAGTGAGCCGAGATTGCTCCACTGCACTCCAGAGACTCTGTCTCAAAAAATAAATAAAAATTTAAAAAATAATAAGGGAAGAATATTTAGTTGCTACACACTTAGAGGTAAAACCACCCCATTCTCCCCCCAGAATGATGACAGCTCCACACTCACTAAGAAAATGACTGAGGTGCTGGGTGCGGTGGCTCACGCCTGTAATCCCAGCACCTTGGGAGGCCGAGGCGGTTGGATCACCTGAGGTTGGGAGTTTGAGACCAGCGTGACCAACATAGAGAAACCCCATTTCTACCAAAAATACAAAATATTAGCCAGGCATGGTGGCACATGCCTGTAATCCCAGCTACGCAGGAAGCTGAAGGAGAATTGCTTGAACCCAGGAGGCGGAGGTTGCAGTGAGCTGAGATAGCACCATTGCACTCCAGCCTAAGCAACAAGAGTGAAACTCCATTTCAAAAAAAAAAAAAAAAAGAAAGAACACTGGGAGGGTGGCACGCTCCAACACTAACGACAGAAGCTCCTGCACTTGGGACTCTTCCAGATCTCACCCTCTGCATCTCATCTGGCTGTGTGTTTGCATCCTTTAAAATACCCTTTGTAATTAACAAGTAAATGTGTTTCCCTAAGTTTTGTGAGCTGCTCTAGCAAATTAATCAAACCCAAAGAGGGAAGGTATGAGCCCCAACTTGAAGCCACCCAATCAGAAGTTCCAGAGGCCTGGACTTGTGACTGATATCTGAAGCCAGGCAGCCTTAGAGACTGAGGCCCCAAATGGTGGGATCTGAAGCTATCTCCAGGAAGACAGCATCAGAATTGAATTAAATTACAGAACACCCAGCTGGTGCCCACTGCTTGGTGCATACGAGAAAAAAATACACATTTGGTCACAGAAGCTTTCTGGGTTGATGGCTGTTATTGTGTGAAAGCAGAGGAGAGACAATTTGAGTGTTTTTCCTACATACCAGCCAAGCTACGAATCAAGTGAGAGATTAGAATAAAAGTACTTTAAGCACAAAAGGTCTCAAGAAATTGAGGCCAGGCGTGGTGGCTCATGTCTGTAATCCCAGCACTTCGGGAGGCTGAGGCAGGTAGATCGCCTGAGCCCAGGAGTTCGAGACCAGCCTGGGCAACATGGCAAAACTCTATGTCTCCTTGGGAGGCTGAGGTGAGAGGATCACTTGAGCCCAGGAGGTGGAGGCTGCAGGGAATGGTGATCATGCCACTGCGCTCCAGCCTGGGTGACAGAATGAAACCTTGCTCCAAAAATAAAAAGTTGACATCTCATGTATTTGCTTTTTTCTAGGAAGTTTACAGAGGATGTGTCCTACCAAGAAAAAGATATAAACCAATGAAAAGATATGAGATCTAGGAAACAGGGAATCCCACCTAGGAGAGAGGCAAAGAGCATGCTGAGGACACAGGCGAGCAGAAATTCCGGAACATCTGTGCAGCAGGCCTCGCAAGCAGCCCGTCCAGATGGAGCAGAGAGGATTCCAGGAGGCTGTCTGGCCCAGTCTCACTATTCCTTTTTATTTATTTATTTATTTTTTGAGATGGAGTCTCACTCTGCTGCCCAGGCTGGAGCACGGTGGTGCGATCTTGGTCTACTGCAACCTCTGCCTTCCGGGTTCAAGTGACTCCCACATCTCAGCCTCCCAAGTGGCTGGGACTACAAGGACCTGCCACCACGTCTGGCTAATTTTTGTATTTTTAGTAGAGACAAATTTTCACCAGGTTGGCCAGGCTGGTTTTGAACTCCCGACTCCAGGTGATCTGCCTGCCTCCTCAGCCTCCCAAAGTGCTGGGATTGCAGGTGTGATCCACTGCGCCCAGCCTCACTATCTTTTCCTGAATGTTTTTTGAAAGGCGCATGTGGCCTCGTTCACCTTGACCTTCAGGTCACACGCTCCTGTCATATATTCTTGTAGCACTGTGCACCATCCCTTCACAGCACAGATCAGTGTGGTCATTAAACATCTATTTCTGTGATTTCCTGATTGATGTCTGCCTCATCCACTCCTTTTTTTTTTTTTTTTTTTTTTGAGACGGAGTCTCGCTCTGTCACCCAGGCTGGAGTGCAATGGCGCAATCTCAGCTCACTGCAGCTGACCAGGTTCAAGCAATTCTCCTGCCTCAGCCTCCTGAGTAGCTGGGATTACAGGCATGTGTCACTATGCCCAGTTAATTTTTGTATTTTTGGTAGAGATGGGGTTTCACCATGTTGGTCAGGATGGTCTCAATCTCTTGACCTTGTGATCTGCCCTCCTCCGCCGCACAAAGTGCTGGGATTACAGGAGTGAGCCACTGTGCCCAGCCCTCACTGCTCTCTCAGCTTTGTCAGGGTGGGGGCTGTGCTATTCTGGCTCATTGTTGAACCCCCCGGTGCCAAACACAGAGTAAGTGCTTAATACACATTCATTAAAGCACTGACAGACGGAATGCTGCCTTTTCATACATACCAGAACAGCTAATATAAATTCCTGGCACCTGCCCCCAGGTAAAATTAAGCCAAGCATTGCTGGGAATGTAAAATTTTGCAGCTCCTGTGGAAGGCAGATGCCAGCTCCTCAAAAAATTAAACACAGGATTACCATATGGTCCAGAGATTCTCACTTCTGGGTTATACTCTAAGAACTGAAAACAGGGTCTCAAAGAGATTATTTGTCTACCCAAATTCATAGCTGCCTTATTCACAACAGCCCAAACACAGAAGTGACCCAAGGGTCTGTCCACTGACCAATAAACAAATAAGCAAAATGTGGTACATACAGGCAAGGGAATATTATTCAGCCATAAAAAGGAAGGGAATTCTGATACAGGCTATAATATGGGTGAGCCTTGAGGACATGATGCTAAGTGAAGGAAGCCAGTCACAACAAGACAAATACTGTGTGATTCCACTTGTATGAGTTACTTAGAGTAATCCAAACCAGAGAGAGAGAATGTGGCATGGTGGCTGCCAGGGACTGGGGGCGGGGGAGATAAGCAATTCGTGTTTAGAGGGGTTAGAGTTTCAGCTGTACAAGATGAAAAGAGTTCAGGAGATGAATGGTGGTGATGGGTGCTCGACATTATGAATGTATTTAACACCAATGAGCTGTACACTTAAAATGACTAGCATGGGCCAGGTGCAGTGGCTCACGCCTGTAATCCCAGCACTTTGGGAGGCCGAGGCGGGCAGATCACAAGGTCAAGAGATAAAGACCATCCTGGTCAACATGGTGAAACCTGATCTCTACTAAAAATACAAAAAATCAGCCAGGCATGGTGGCACGTGCCTGTAATCCCAGCTACTCAGGAGGCTGAGGCAGGAGAATCGCTTGAACCAGTGAGGCAGAGGTTGCAGCGAGCCAACATCACACCACTGCACTCCAGCCTGGGCGACAGAGAGAGACTATCTCAAAAACACAAACAACAAAGAAACCCAACAACAACAAAATGCTAGGATGGTAAATTTTATGTTATGTATACTTTAACACAATTTTTTTTAATAGAAAAAAAAAAAAAAAAGCCAGGCACAGGAGCTTACACCCATAATCCCAGCACTTTGAGAGTCCAAGGTGGGAGAATCACTTGAGTCCAGGAGTTTGAGACCGGCCTGTGCAACATAGCAAGACTTCGGTCTCTACAAAGAATAAATTAGCCAGTCATGATGGCACATGCCTGTCGTCCTTGCTACTCAGGAGGCTGAGGTGGGAGGACTGCTTGAGCCCGGGAGTTTGAGGCTGCAGTGAGCCATGACTGTACTACTGTACTCAGCCTGGGTGAGAGAGTGAGGACCAGTCTCAAAAAAAAAAGGGAAAACAGTTATGCCAAGGGCTGGATCCTGTCTATTGGTTCCTTTTTGTAGATGCTCTCAAACCCATTGACTGGATTACTATTCAGCAAACATCCACTCCTTTCCCTCTCCTGTGGGGATGTCATATTCTATACCGGCCCTTTGATAGTGGGCTTGGCCATGTTATTGGCCACTGAAGCGTTGGCATGTGTGGCAGGAGTGGCGGCTTTAAGTGATGCTTGCACAGTTTAGCTTGCTTCTCAGACTTCCGTCAGCTTTCTTATGAGCTTCTCTCAGGTAGAAGGAGGAGGTTTATGGGGCAAACACAAACCCAACTTGCAGCCTCAAACCAAGCCCCAGCAATCTGCATTATGAAGCTGAGTTGTCCAGTCAAACCCAGCCCATCAAAAGATGATCCAGAGACCAACAATTAAAAAGTAAGTGCTTGGCTGTGCGCAGTGGCTCATGCCTATAATCCCAGCACTTTGGGAGGCTAAGAAAGGAGGATCACTTGAGGCCAGAGGTCTGAGACCAGTCTGGCCAACATAGTGAGACTCTGTCTCTCTCTCTCTCTCTTTTTTTTTTTTTTGGGGGGGGGATGGAGTTTTGCTCTTGTTCCCCAGGCTGGAGTGCAACGACATTATCTCAGTTCACTGAAACCTCCAGCTTCTGGGTTCAAGCCATTCTCCTGCCTCAGCTTCCTGAGTAGCTGGGATTACAGGCATGAGCCACCACGCTCAGCTAATTTTGTATTTTTAGTAGAGACGGGGTTTCTCCATTTTGGTCAGGCTGGTCTCAAACTCCTGACCTTAGGTGATCTGCCCGCTTCCACCTCCCAAAGTGCTGGGATTACAGGCACCAGCCACCGCACCCAGCCAACCCTATCTCTTAAAAAAAAAAATTTGTTTTAAGCTGGGCATGGTGGCACGTGCCTGTAGCTACCCAGGAGCCTGAGGCAGGAGGATTGCCTGAGCCCAGGAGTTAGAGGCTGCATGAAGTTATGGTTATGCTACTCCTCTGCACCTTGGTGACTTTTTTGATAAGGGTTGGTCTCTTTAAGCTTCTTTCCAGTGCTAGGATTCTGTGGTCTAGAAGGATCTATATCCCCCTAGACTGGCCACCCCTTTCTCACCTGGGTATGGCTCAGCAGGGGGAGGGTAGCGTGGTAGGCTGAGCAGAAAGCCTGGCTGGCTTCCCAGGCCTGCGCTTCCGCAGAGAGGTAGTAACAGTGCTCCTCAGACAACACCCAGCCTGGGGGGCATGGCTGGCATCTGGCTCCTGCAAGCACAGAGACCGCTGGTGAGCCGCAGGGTAAACTGCATTAAATAAACAAAGCCTGGCTGCTGCCTCAACTAAAGGGGCATGGAACCGGCACACCTCAGGGTGGGCAGGGCTCCAGGGAGGCTGTACAGTCTGTGCAGTGCACAAAGTCCCTCGGGGCGGTGCCTGGCGTCTGATTGCTTATTAGGGCACAAGCTGTGTCCAGTGGGAGGAAGGCGCCAGTTTTCCTTTGCTCAGCAAGCCCCAAGTCTTCACATTGCATCTCTCAGTGTCTCTTTCTAATTCCAAGGTGTTGTAATGGCTGGAAACCCAGTCCCAGTAGTGAAACAGCAGGGAGAGGGGACGGGGACTGCAGAGGGCACCATACCTGCTCTTGAGGCCAAGACCACAATGACAACCCCGGAGACTGCCAGGAGCACAGCCATGACCGCCAGGGCCCGGCGCAGGGACTTCATGTACATGGACAGCCCTAGGACGGGGGCAAACAGGACATTTGAGTTAGCGGAGACTATCCCAACCAACCCAACTCAGAACCACAGACACAGCACACCAGCATAACCCCCACCTCGCACCAGCACCTGCCGCTTCAGCCTGGGATGCCAACGTAAACCACAACATTTAGGTTCCAACTTTATATTCAAGAGAAAGAAGCCAGATTTTCTTTTCTTTTCTCTTCTTTCTTTTTTTGATGGAGTCTTGCTCTGTTGCCTAGGCTGGAGTACAGAGTACAATCTCGGCTCACTGTAACCTCTGCTTCCCAGGTTCAAGCAATTCTCCTGCCTCAGCCTCCCGAGTCGCAGAGATTACAGGTGCATGCCACTATGCTCGGCTAATTTTTACATATTTTTTAGTAGAGACAGTGTTTCACCATATTGGCCAGGATGGTTTTGACCTTCTGACCTTGTGATCCACCCACGCTGGCCTCCAAAAGTGCTGGGATTACAGGCGTGAGCTACCGCACTCGGCCACCAGATATTCTTAAATACTTAGAGGGCTTAAGATTCCAGGCCAGGTGTGGGGGCTCACTCCTATAATCCCAAAACTTTGAGAAGCCAGAGTAGGAGAACTGCTTGAGTCTAGGAGTTTGAGACCAGCCCAGGCAACATGGTGAGACCCTGTCTTTATTTGTTTTGTCGTTTGTTTATTTTTGAGATGGAGTTTTGCTCTTGTTGCCTAGGCTGGAGTGCAATGGTGCGATATTGGCTTACTGCAACCTCTGCCTCCCGGGTTCAAGCAATTCTTCTGCCTCAGCCTCCTGAGTAGCTGGAATTATAGGCATGCTCCACCATGCCTGGCTAATTTTGTGTTTTCAGTAGAGACAGGGTTTCTCCATGTTGGTCAGGCTGGTCTTGAACTCCTGACCTCAGGTGATCCACCCACCTCGGCCTCCCAAAGTGCTGAGATTATAGGCATGAGCCACTGAGCTTGGCAGAGACTCTGTCTTTACAAAAAGTAAAAATGTAGCCAGGCATGGTGGCACGAACCTGTAGTCCCAGCAACTTGGGAGGCTGAGGTGGGAGGATCACTGGGGCATTGGAGGTCAAGGCTGCAGTGAGCCACAGTTGTGCCACTGTATTCCAGCCTGGGGGACAGAGTAAGATCCTGTCTCAAAACAAACAGATTCTATATAAGAAAGGGAACAAATAATTGGCCAATAACCATTTATGAAGCACTTAATGACATGACATACAGAAAATAGGGTAAGACCCTATACTCAAGGAGCTAACAGGTAGACAAAGGGACCATGGGATAAAACTACCAAACCAGAGAGGAGTGAGGGCTGTCTTGGAGGTCGGCGGGCCTGGCTTAGAGCACCACATGGCTGGGGGTTGTCGGCAGTAGTGTTCCTGATGCTTCAAAACCAAGTGGACCAGATGGCTGGAACGCGGCCGCCGAAAGACAACAAGGAGCAGAGACGGGAGAGCCCTCCAGGAGGGAGAACGGCACAGAGGCTCAGAGGCGCAACACAGGGAGTAACCAGGGAGGCCCGAGACGAGAACTTGGAGAGGAAAAGAATGATTTCAAATGCTTAATTACAGCCATGGCCAGCTACAAACATTCAACCTAGAAATTCACACCCACCTGAAGTAACTGAGCACTCCTGAATTTGACCTTGGCGGCATGACAGTGACGTGTAAAATCAACTATAGCAAAAAGACAACTCTCTTCTCCCAGAAACCCTGCAGCAAGAGGCCCTAGAATTCTCCCACATCTCAGGGACGACAGCCAGCAATGACCACGTCATCAATGTGAGGGGTGTAAGCATGAAATCATCACATCGGCCAACACTTGGAGAAGAAAAGGCTAATAAACCTACCCATCACCTAAGTCAATATAATTATGGTGGCTGAACACTAAATTTAGCTCTACCTTTTATACAACAAAGCAGTAAAGAAATACAGTTGGTTACAAACACCTCACACACTTAATTCCAAGGAGGACTCACCTTAATTCCAAGCTGCTGAGTTTAGAAATGGATCTCCAAAGAGCTACCTGTCCTCTCAAACTACCAAAGGAAAGTCCCCACCCCACTTTGCTTTTCAAAAGAGCAATTCTGTTTTATTAATTTTTTTTCCAGACAGGATTTCACCATGTTGCCCAGGCTAATCTTGAACTCCTGGACTCAGGAAATTCTCTCTTCCAGGCCTCCCAAAGTGTTGGGATTATAGGCATGAGCCATTGCACCTGGCCAAAAAAGGAATTCTTTTTTTTTTATTTTTTATTTTTTGAGATGGAGTCTCCCACCATTGCCCAGGCTGAAGTGCAGTTATGGGATCTTGGTTCACTGCAACCTCCACCTCCCAAGTTCAAGTGATGATTTGCCTGCCTCAGTCTTCCGAGTAGCTGGGATTACAGGTGCTGCCACCACGCCCAGCTAATTTTTGTAGTTTTAGTAGAGACAGGGTTTCACCATATTGGCCAGAATGGTCTTGATCTCCTGACCTCGTGATCCACCCACCTGGGCTTCCCAAAGTGCTGAGATTACAGGCGGGAGCCGTGAGCCACTGTGCCTGGCCAAAAAAAGAATTCTTAATTACTCAAGTAACGCAATTACACTCTCCTTGTAAAAACCTGAAAATACAGATGAAGCTAGTCTCTCTTAGATAAGTCGGGCTGGGAGAATCGCTTGAGTCTAGGAGTTCGAGACCAGATATGGTAGAATGAAAGAAGAAGAAGAAAAATCTAACAATAAAAAAAGAAAATCTCAGCTGCACACGGTGGCTCATGCCTGTAATCCCAGCACTTTGGGTGGCCGAGGCAGGTGGATCACTTGAGGTCAGGAGTTTTGAGACCAGCTGGCCAACGTGGTGAAACCCCATCTTTATTAAAAATACAAAAAATTAGCCAGACGTGGTGGCGCAAGCCTGCAATCCCAGCTACTTGGGAGGTTGAGGCAGGAGAATCTCTTGAAACCGGGTGGCGAAGGTTGCAGTAAGCCGAGATCGCGCTATTGCACTCAAGCCTAGGTAAGAGCGAATCTTCGTTTAACTTAAAAAAAAAAAAAAAAAGTGGCTTTCCCATGACCAGATTCCTTCTTTGCAGGAATTTGGCACTAGATCTGAGAGATCCAGAGCTGAGAGTTGTCAGAGGTCCTAGTAGGGCAACTCCCTGGAGAGAAAGCCCAGTAATTCCTGCTCTGGGCCCAAGGGTTTGTCTGGGGAGTTGCTTTATTCTTTCACCGCAAACAACGTGAATTACGGTTACATAGACAGGAATGCTATTGATTGTAAGCCCAAGAGCCCAGATGGGTAGGGGCATTGGGACAGCCAACTTGGGTCCCTCAGTGGGTCCGATGTCCAGTGGTCCAGGGCTGGGCGGGTGTGGGGGCTTCCGCCACATCCACCCGACCTGGAGGCGCCGGCTGCTGGCGCAGGTGAGCACTCACCCAAGTGAGTTACGGCCCGGGGCAGCTTCTTGTCGCGGTGCAACTCCGCGCAGGGCAGCAGCGCCGCACCCTCCTTCTCCAGTCCCAGCTCCTTGCAGCGGCAGCACGTGCGGGAGCTCGGGGAGTCGGCGCTTCCCTCGGCGGGACTGGCCGGGCCTTCGGCGTCGCGGCCGCTCTCCGTCCGGGCGGCGGCCAGCCGCGAACCGCGGCCCCACGTGCCTCCCGGGGACGGTGCGCGCTGCAGGAGCTGGTGCGCGGGGGCCGCGCTGCGGGAGAAGGCGGGCGACTCGGGCACCGGCACCGTGAGGAAGCGCGTGGAGGGCCGGGGCGAGGGCGTGCTGCTGCCGCCGGCCGCGCCCACAGGCTTCACGAGCACTTCCACCTGCAGCTCTATGGGCGCCCAGGCTCCGGACGCAGGCTCAGCCCCGGGCGCCTCGCTATTCCGGGGCGTCTCGGCCGAGAGGGGGCCCGGGGACCGCGGCTCGGGGCAGGCGGACCCCAGGCCACCGAAGGCGCCGTAGCCCAGGCTGAGTGGCGGCACGCGCAGGGGCCCGGGGCGAGGCGAGGGCAGCTGCTTCTCGCTCGAGGGCTCCCGGCCCGCGCCCGCTGCCTCCTCTCCTGCCCCGGCTGGAGTCGGGCTGCTTTCGGGACCTTCAGGTTGTCGCGTCTCCGCGGGGACCTGCGGCTGCTCCAGCCTGGGGAGCAGGTTTCCCACGGGCTCCATTGGGACTTTGGCCCCGGCTTGGCTCTCGGGTGCAGCCGCCTTGGCCCGCTCCATCCCGCGCGCCCAGCACCCGGAGACGCTGAGGAGCGCACCTGGGCCCAGGGGCAGAGGGGCTTCACTCTCCGGCTTCTGGATTGGTCCAGCCGCGTTGCCCAAGTTGTCAGGCCACGCCCCTCCCCGAAGGGTCCCGCTGTGATTGGCTGAGGTTGCCGTTCTGCTGCCGCTCCGCCTTCGGGACACCGGCCCCGCCTCCGCTGGGAAGGGCGGCGGGGCCAGGCGAGGGTTGCAGGGTGGGCGGCAGCTCTCGGGGGAGAAAAGCAGAACTGCGAGCGGAGGCTCGTGGGAGAGAACCCGGAGCCCCGCCTGACCCTTCCCTCCTCTTTGTCTCTGACCCCACCCATTTTCCCCTCCAGCCCTATGCCTGGATGTTCGTTTTGAGAGTTACAGTTTGGGCGGGGACCGATTGTCTAAGCCTGTCTGGATCCTGGGACCTCAGAAAAATCAGAACCCAAAGGAATTGGGGCGGCCTGTGGAAAATTAGCCCAGTTGGTTGTCGTAACAATCCTGCAGGGTTTCGAAAGAACGCTCCGTCACACCTGGGAGGACTCTCCCACGGCAAAAGTGCCAGGAACAGTGACTCCGGAGGCCTGACTCTTACTAGCCTAATGTATTAAAGAGTGAGGAATGAATAGGCATGAAAATGTGTATTTTCAGGAGGAGGAGAGCCTGGTAGCCTGGTGTGGTCGGGTTCCCCGTCGGAGCCAGTGATATGAAGACCGTGTTAAAAATACAGATTCGTAGGAGTGTGGGTGTGGGGACAAGATACCTGGCTGGGATCCACAGAACACACATTATTATAAGGGGATAAGGCTTCTGGTATTTTTAAGTGCCCCCAGGATGGGGTTGGCAGATAAAATGCAGGCCACTCAGTTAAATTTGAATTTCAGTTAAACAAGGGATAGTTTCTAGCACAGAAGTCCTCCTTTATCCATTGGGATAGTTCCCTATGGATTTCATGAGAGGACAGGAGGGGAGGGAAGGGAGACTCTGTAAGTGGCTGAAAATCCAAGTCCCATTGGATTTTCTCTTGAGGTGAGGGCCAGGATTCGGTGCAGTCTCTCTGTACCTCCTGTGACACAGCACATCAGCCTGGCACCACAAGGCCATTACAACTTCTAAAGTGGAACATCCTAAGATAAGTGAATTACCCAAATGTTTCAAGGGGTTCGGATGCTAGCTGGTGAAAAAGAACAAAAATCTACTGTGATCTTTCTTTCCATCCTTCTCTCGCTTTCCCTCACTTTAAAATTCTGTTTTCTGCTTGCAACAGCAATACATGCCTGCAATACAGAATGTAGATATTACAGAAATGCATACTGCAGAAAATAAAGGTCCCCCGTTTTCTATGCCCGAGAGATTTCTGTTATTAACATTTCGGTATGCAGTCTTCAAGATTTTTAAACAAATGTATACAGTAACCTGTACTGTTATTATATATACAAATATCTTTATTTTTAAAACTTCACTCATATTAAATGTTTTCCTATGTGTAATTTATTTAAGAAGTCTCCTATTGATGGACATTTGAGTTGTTTCCATTTGGGTGACATAATTACTGCAATGCTGAACATGATATAGATATAATTCAGTGAGAATCCTTGTATATATTGTTTTTTAAAATCACATCTCTGATAATATCTTCAGAATAGAATCATTAAAATGAAATTGCTGAGCCAAAGGGTGGTCAGAGTTTTGGATATGATGGATACTGCTAAATTACCCACACGAAGCTCAACAGACAAAGGATGAGAGGGCTGTTCCCATGGCTGCACCCTCACTTCATATCATCAGTCTTCTTGGTCCTTACCGATCTGATGGGCAAAGATACTGAATGTCAGCTTGCATTTCTTTAACTATGAATGAAGCTGAACACCGTTTTATTTGTTAATTGTGCTACTGAGAAGTGTCTTGGACACTGTCGGGGGCTGGGTAAAATACCACTGAAATTTCCTCTATCCTCCCTACCACTGAAAGTTCCAGCTCACTGGCTGGTTCCAGGAAGTGGCCCTGTAGGAATCCTTGTCATCTTTTCCTGACCCACGCCATGAAGTTCACTGGTCAAGGGTGGCTGATGGTATCTGGTTTGTCTGAGCAGACTGAAGAGTTCTACAAGCATAAATTAAACTGCAGCTTAATTTGCCAGAGAGGAGGCAGACAGTCCCACTCCTGGTTCTTGGCTGATGTCATCCCCATGGCATGCCGGCCCCTCTAGGGGACCTAGAGACACAGATGAGGAGGGAGAGGGGTTTCCACACAACCAGCTCACTGGCACACCCATCCCCAGCTCATATTCCACCTGCTCAGAGGCTCAGAGGGTACTCAAGCCAGCGTGACATCCCCCCACCCCACCTAATCCCCCATCTTTGTCTCTCCCCTGTCAGGTGTCTTCCAGCACTCTGCACTGTCTGTGCTCAACACGTGCACATGGTGGTCTCATCCTTTAATGCTTGTCTCTGGCCCCCAAGAAATCCTCACTGCACCCCCAGATCAGTATCTGAAACACCCATCCTTAGTTCTTGGCTGACATCTCCAATAGCAGCTTAGTGAATATTTATGCTGAATGGGGCACTGTACAGAGTGCTTCAGATACCTTGGCTCTCTTTCCCCCCAATCTTTAGTTGACATGTTTTAAACACTAAGAAACGTGGAAAGAATACATGGTGATCGTGTGAACATCCTCCACCTTGATTCAACAGTTAGCATTTCACGTGTCGTTCTTGTCTTTCTCTCCATCTCCGTGCAGACTTTCTCTCAGCTGTTATGGAACCATCTGAATGTGAGCTGCTGGCCTCAAGAAACCTCACCCTTCAATATTTCAGCATGCATTTGCAAGAATACACGTGTTTTCCATAGCAAAGAAATTGACAGTAACTCCGAGCTGGGTGATATTCTAGAAACTAAATTTAAATTTTCCTAATTTTTTCCCCAACCAAGTTCCCATCAGGGTTCACATTTTACATTTGGCTGTTAGGTCCATTTGCTCTTTATCATAACTAAAATCCCTACTTCACAGGTGAAAAAACAGATTCAGAGAGGTTGAGGAACTCGTGCAGGGTTGGATGTCTCCTAAGTGGAAAGCCAGCATGTCCTTGGGTATCTGTGGCCCCAAAACACATCTTTTCTCCCCGTTTGCTGCTTTAGGCTCCCTTAGCCTTCCTGGTTTCATTCCCAGTCTCTGATTGGGTCCATGCCGGTCATGGGCTGGGGCAGAGGTATTCATGTTGACCCCATTACTCAGCAGACTAAGCCTCGCTTTCCAGTTCCTTCAGCCACACCACACCTGACCCCCATCCCCTGTAACTTTCTGAGACACCAGCCATCCATTGGGAGTGACGAGGCAGCCTCATTTTAGCAAAGGATCCATCTGCAGCTGGGCGAGGCAGAGGAGAGCGAGCTAGGCAGCGCGAGGGGAGGAACAAAAGGTGGTGTTAGGTCAAGAGTGTGGGTAAGGCAGGGACTGAGAAAACATTCCACCTGGATGCCTGTGAGCTTATCCTGGGAGAACTGGAGAGGAGCCATGACCCAGCAGAAAAACAGCTCCCTGAGTCATCTGCACGTGGAAACAAAGACCCTCCCTTGAGGTGGAGGTTGCAGTGAGCCCAGATTGTGCCATCACACTCCAGCCTGGGCAACGAGAGTGAAACTCCATCTAAAAAAAACCAAAAACCAAAAAACAACGGATCACATGGTCAGGAATTTGAGACCAGCCTGACTAACATGGTGAAACACTGTCTCTACTAAAAAAACAAAAATTAGCCAGATGTGGTGGCGTGTGCCTGTGATCCCAGCTACTCAGGAGGCTGAGGCAGGAGAATTGCTTGAACCTGGGAGGCAAAGGTTTCAGTGAGCCAAGATCGCCCCATTGCACTCCAGCCTGGGTGACAGAGTGATACGCTATTTCAAAAAAATAAATAAAGACCCTCCCTTTTAAGAGCTCCATCCACAGATTCCTTTCCTGTCAAATCCCACTGGTGGGATTGTAATAGTGAGGATAGACAGCTGTGACTCAGGAATATGGAGGACAGACCTAGCTCTCCTCTGGATTAGTGTCCCCAACCTTAGCTGACTTTGCTGAGTCTTGGGCTCCACACTTGGAAAGATCTAGATGAGAGCAGGTAGAAGGACCAGGAGACCCAGGGAGCAATGGAGTAGGGCTAGGCCTGGGGATACGAGACCAGGAGAAGCAGCGCCTACCTCCTGGCATCACAGGTGTGTAAGAGACCTTCCCCCAGGCTCTGTGGGACTCCTGTCACCAGAGACTGGGATAGCAAAGGGGGGAGACACAAGTGCCCAGGAGCACATTGGTGAAGAGGTCCCAGATTTAAGGCTAATGGTATCCTCGTCCCCTCTGAGCGAAATCAGCCCATTATGAATGAGATTTGCTAGTCCGAGAGTCTTGAGGCCTAGGTATCCCCCAAATCAAATCAGGCCTTGCAAAAATCTAACTAAAGGGTCTAGAACACACCACCAGGAAGTCATGACTAAATGTAGGAAATTGTAGTCTAATCAAATACATTAACAGCTATGTGTTAATATGTGTTTTAAGACAAAGGTGGTAATTACATAATCAGGAAAAAAGCCATGAAGCAATCATTTTCAGGGAAAAGTGGGAAGGGGTGGAGAAAAGAGTTGAATATAAGAAAAGGTCTCCCAAATACAAGAAGCTGGCAAGTTTCTCTAGCACTACCCAAGACAGAGAGACACCAGATGTTCTGATTCCCTGAGATGCAGGGGACCCATGCCTGCCCCATGCCACCCACTGCCAGGATCCTAATGCTGAGGCCCTAAAACAATATGGGAAGGACAGCTGGCCTGGGAGGTATCAGGGGTTCTTCACCACTAATGTCGAGGTGACTGGGAGTCTCTCCTCAGCTTCTGTCTTAGTCCATTTTCTGTTGCTATAGCAGAATACCTGAGGCTGAGTAATTCATAAAGAAAAGAGAGGCCAGGTGCAGTGGTTCACATCTGTAATCCCAGCACTTTGGGAGGCCAGGGTGGCCAGATCACTTGAGGTCAGGAGTTTGAGACCAGCCTGGCCAATATGGTGAAACCCCATCTCTA